GATAAGAAATATAAGCACTACCATGAAAGTGACCATCTTGACCACTACACATATCGCACACATTCCACACATAAGATTGAGTTGGTGCACATAACTCGCTCTCGGAAATATTTTAATAATTTTGCCCAGGGTGATTTCCTCCACTAAACGCATAAGAAAGATCAAAAGTAGAATTACCAACATCAAAACTCTCATAATTCCAAGATGCCATGTTTCTCAAATTAATAAGTAAAACAAAAAAAAAACAAAAAAAAATCAAATACAAAAAATAAAAATAAAAGTTCAAACTTGAAACCTAGCAATATGTACACCTACAACTACACCGTTAGTTCCCCGGCAACGGTGCCAAAATTTGATCACGCCCAACTATGCCTTATAAAAGGACTAAGCGGTCGTTGCAAATATAATCCGGTTTACAAGTCCGGAGTCGAATCCCACAGAGAACTAAGGCTTAGCTACAGTTGTTCACTATCACCAAGAATACAAGCTTGAACAATTCCTAACTTATAGATATTAATATTCTTGTGTTTAACTAACTAACTAACAAATTAAAATAATAAATTAACACTAAAGATACTACAGGTTGGAGAAAAGATTAAGGAGGTCTAGAGTTATGATTTCCCCAGTTGTCGGAATCCTTCCCGCTATGTCTTCTATAATTTCACCTAAGTATTCTCTACCCATCATGAGCTCTCTGCGTGTTGTAATTCTCTCCCGAGTAATTATGATAATTTACTAGACATACTCTCCCGAGTTACGCTAGCTGGCTTTAATTACAGCTCACTTAGATCGCACCAAGGTTTCGTTATCCCTAATCCCACCTTTAAACCCTTGGTTATTGATTCCTCACATACGTCGGAAGTGATGTTATTCAACAACTACCTAAATATGCACTCTCTCCCGAGTAATACATACTAAATAGGCACAGCTAATTGAGGGCCATTCAATCAACCACAAAATAATATAGTTGAACAAATAGAGAAAATACTACGACTCAATTATATAAAAACATAACAAGAATTTATCCTACAAAAGGTTCCATCAAAACCCTAGATAACAAATTAGCTATTCATAATAGTATGTAAAACTACAATACTAAAAGTAATGACCAACAATGAAAAATAGGAAGAGGAAGGAAAAACTCGTAGAAGAATTCCCCGCCTTGCTCCTATTGTGTCTCTTCCTCCTTAGGTCGAATCTGTGTCAAAAATATGTCCAACCTCATCAAAAAATCATTTTTCCATGTATATATACCAAGTAGGGTTGAGCCCAAAAAATTATACCTTCTCCAATGTGAAAAAGGACAAGTTTCCAGGCCTGGACTAGCGCGGGCGCGCTAGTGACCGCGCTAGTGGCCGCGCATATTAACAAGTGCACTGCCTCAGTCCGTGACCAGGTCCGTGATCGCGGTTTCGACCGTATTTTTCACCCTGTTTCCTTTGGAATTTGGAAAAACGTAAAACATGAAAGTTGTATCCCTTTGAGTTAGCTTTCTAACCAAATATTGTGGAGTCTAAATGGAGTTCTGAGCGAAAAGTTATGTGTATTTTACTATACAGTGCGCAATATGCCTACTCGATTCTTCGTTTTGTTGCTCTATCATCCGCTAATCCCCGAAGCTTAATTCCTTGGGCTTTTACTCAGACTTCAAAGCTTCAAATCACTTGAATTCATTCCATAACATCTACATAGCTCGAAACCACTCCTACAAGGCATAAAACACACAATTAGTGCAAGACACTAGCGATTAAAGCTCAAACTCAGTTAAAGTGCAGTAAATTTGAGTGTGATAAGCGACTAAAATACGCAATTATAGCCTATCATCAATCCACTTCATCAAATGTCAGTGCCACATAGGATTGAATGTCCACTTTGGACAAACATAACGAAAAAAGAGATATATTTGAACTAATAGTATAACGACAAGGCTATATTTAGACTCAAAGTATACCGAATGGTACATTTAAACCTTTTCGAATAGTATAGGGGTATATTTGACCTTTTTCCATATTAAAAATCCATTGTAAAGTACAAATAATAGATGCCAAACCGTAACCAGAACTAGGGGTTTAGACTTTTATAGGAAGATCGCCTGAAATTTTAATTAAGTTATACGAAATATTCACAAAGCTCAAAATTGGTTCCACAATCAAGATCTAACGAATTTCTACCCTTAACTTTGAAGGTAATACAACAGGTGAAAATTAAAGTATTTAACGTCTTTTCTTAGAACAAAGATCATTAAAATGTCCTAGTTAATTAACAAATGAATTGAAGTTCTAATGCAAAGAACCCAAAGAGCAGCCTTTGCAAAGCAAAAGTTTGAGACATCTACAGCCAAAAGGAGCTTAGTCATACAAGTACTAAAAAACACACAACATAAAGTCGCACCAATTCAAAGTTGGTCACCTCCTTTACTTCGAGGGCCTTTCATCATACATGCATTAACACAAGCAACTTTATGCATATACCTTATTTATTTCGTTTTTTCATATGGCACTCGATATTCGTATTGGAGTCCGATTAAACCTAGATTTGTAAATTAGGTAAAGTATTTTTTAATAAAGATAACTTCACACTCAAACTCAAATTCGAGACCACTGATTAAGAATGAAGGGTTACTACCAGGAACGGAGTCGGCCCTTCAGTTATGGTTGCGGCCGAACTCAGCATTTTTGGTCTGAAACCTTGTATTTGTTTTAAGAAATTCATTTAATTTGTGCAAAGTTATTAATTTAGAATCCAGTAACTTAGAACTAAAATCTCGAAGCCATATACTTCAAATCTTGGTCGCGCCTCTGAAGAATACTTGTTGCTCCATCATAACATACCTTATTAACATAGAGAGATTACATTTGTCATCGAAAAAAATCTCATTGCAAAAAAGTACATTTCCAATTATCAAATTGTTATTAGAGCATGTGATAGAAAATTGATATGAAAACAAATTAGGCTAGAAAGATGTCGGTTCTCTTGCGTCAGCCTAATCACATCATGGTATCGTCGTCAAGCAGCTTATAGTCAAATACTTTTTCCTTTGTTTTTTTCAAGTGAAAGCAGACAGCAAAAGTACTCTACGTACGAAATACTGGTATATACACTTAGGGGTCGTTTGGTATGAGGTATAAGAAGGGATAAGGGTGATATAAAAATTTAATACCACCTTAATACTCTGTTTGGTTAGCAAACCAGGTATAAGTTATTCCGGTGTTAATTTTAACACTGGGATAACTTATACCTTATAGAAGGTGGGGTAATTAGCACCGGTATAACTTATACCTTCTTCTTAGAAATTATGCAATTGTCATTCTTAATACAACATACCAAACAATGAATAAACAACAATCCCAGCATAACTAATTCCATCATAACTTATCCCAATATAACTTATACCGCATAACTTATACCGGTATAAATCGTATTCCAACCAAACGACCCCTTAGTGGCTGGGGAAAGCTGACAAGATCAAAGTTATTATCATATTCAAAGTAGTACTTTTGTTTCTAATAACTATACTTTAATTAGCAACAACAAAAAGTTGAATCGCTCTTTATATCCTTAGGACATAAATTATGGTTGTTGAGGGATCATTTGAGCCACATCCTAATAGGGCACTATACTTTAAAGATTTTTTCTAACTTTGAGTATTATAGTTATCAATTCACTAAATCAATCAAGGTGCGAGTATATTACTACTTACGCTTAGAGTCGCGTGGTGGTCAGAGACGGATCCAGAATTTAAAGTTTATAGATTTCTAAATCCTGCAGGATAGGCCTCTAGAGGAGAAAGCACCCTTTATTTTCCATCATTAAGTGTTTCAAATTAAGATGTTTAGCTTGGTTAACTTTTAAGAACTTTCGTCGAAAGAGAAAATTTTGGCATCACACTCACATTTGGTGCTTCTCAAGTCCAACTCATACATGAATTTAAAATATACACTCAACTTATTTTCCAGGAGTCAAAAGCTTTCTAAATCGTGAAATTTCCCTGCACTTCAACAGGAGGAAAAAGAAAAGAATATGAAAATGAAAATGAAATCACTTCCTCTTAAAGTGAAACTGAGGTTTCATTGAATCTTCCATTCTGCTTTTGAAATATTCCTAAGGAAGGCTGCTCTAATGCCATGTTAATTTAGGGTATATTTCATGATTCTCAAATTTAGTTTAATTAGAATATGTAGTTTCCAACAAAAGAAGATTATATTTTAAAGAAGGCGGCTCTAAATCTGCATGCATGGAGTGATTATACATGCTTTTCATTTGAATAATTATGAAAAAATATGAGAATTTAATACCAAACAAAGGAGTAATGGAGTAATTCAAAAAATATTTAAAAAAAATAAAACAAACTCTATGTGCTAACATTGTGAAAAAAAAAATACTTAGACAATTAGATCATTTACAAGGTCAATACAAGTAAATCTCTATGATAAATATTAATGTCTCGACAAAAATTAATGGTAACGATTGTATATACTATAATACATTAAACTAAAACTACTTTAATATAGTAATTAATATTTTTACCCTATCAATATATATTACGTAAATCCTATTATATAACTCGGGAATTAGTATGAAGCAAACAAACCTTAAACATACATAACACCATCAATGAACGGTGTGTGATTGAATGGAAAAGGTTCCTTCTCCCTTAACTAAAGGTTTCAGCGAAGTTCAGGTCTAGATAATGGAATTCTCTTTGATTAAAAGCTAAATCACCTTATAATTGACTTCTTTATAACGATGTCAATCCAGATCAGCCAGTCAGGTGGATTCCGAATACCGAATGGTTTAAAAAATGAAAAAAAGTATTCACCAAGATTGTTTAGGCATAGAAATTAGTAGGTAACAACAGCCAAAATGTGGGGTCTGGTCAAACTTAAAAGTATGCAACTTTATTAATTCTCTTCTCATTCATGTATGGGAATGAGAAGTGAGAATATAATTTCTATATAATAGGTATCATCACACTGCAGAAGAAAATCGTCTAACTACAACAAGAATAGAAGATAATTATGGGAAGTGAATTGGTGGAAATTAAGATGAGCCAATCAACACTAAAAATTGGTGATAAAGAAGTGCAAAATACAGTTTCTTTAACACCATCTCCAATTCTTGATTCTATACCAAAAACACCCAAAAGTCCATTTGGTGCAAGAATAATGACACCATTGGCTAGTCCTATGAAAAAAGCTTTAACATATATGGAAGAAATTGGTCATTTCACTAAGCTTGATCCTCAAGATGCTTGGCTTCCAATTACTGAGTCAAGAAATGGGAATGCATATTATGCTGCATTTCATACACTTAGTTCTGGAATTGGAGTCCAAGCTCTTGTCCTTCCTCTTGCTTTTATTACACTTGGATGGTATGTGTAATAATCATCAATACTCCTATTTTTTTTTTCTTTTTCTATTAGCTCGTATTTTCTTTCTTCAAAATAGAAAAAAGAAATAAACGGTGTTTTGTATTGTTTGCTAATACAAATTAAAAGCCATTTTTCGTTTAATTTTTTATTTTTATTTTTTGGAACAAAATTAAATTCCGGTGCTTATTAAGAAAGTGCAAAATATTTTGGTAAACTAGATAGTGTTTTGATGAAATTTTTAGTATTAAAGTGTTGGTTAAAGCAATGATTAAGTTAAGAGTTGTATAATTGTGAAGGAAAATTCTGCCCAAAAGTGAGGAAATTCGCCTTTTTTCTTTTGACACAAAAATGTTTTCAGTGACAAAAAATATTTTTGACAACTAAACGTCAAAAACTGACTTATTTTTTGGAAAATATTTTTCGAAAAACCTTTTATACCAAACACACGTAATAGACCCTTGTGGTCCGATCCTTTCCCGAATCCCGCGCATAGCGAGAGCTTAGTGCACCGAGCTACCCTTTGCACCCAAAAAGAATTTTGGATATTCTATGCTATACACTGATCGGCTTGCGCTTTGATAAAAATGTAGGATATGGGGGATAATAAGCTTGTCCTTAATATTTATGTGGCAATTATACACACTCTGGTTACTCATTCAACTTCATGAATCTGTCCCTGGCATGCGTTATAGCCGATATCTTCGCCTCTCAATGGCTGCCTTCGGTAAGTATCAATCGTAATCTTTTAGCACGTCCATAATTAATTAATCTCCCTGTGTTTACTATACTATATATTAATAATATATCTCAATCTTTGCATGCTACTTCGATTCATTAAGGGTTAGCTTCTAAACTAACAGTGTAAAAAAATTTACAATATTAGGTCACTTAAATGTAATTAAAGATAATTATCTATATCAGTGAAAATAATAACCTAAAAAATAAGACAAAAAACTTGGTAGAACATGTTAATTGCACAAATAGTGTAAATTAGCGTAAATTGGTCCACGTATAAAAGTTAAACTCTAAGATAAATCCTTTCATATATATATATATATATATATATATATATATATATATATATATATATATATATGGCTCGAAGATATCTATAGTTGTCCAAAATTCACCTTAGATATTCATATCCATTACAAATGCAGAATATTTTAGTTGGCGATCTAGGCTCACACGTTCTAAAAAAAATTTCCTTTTTTCAAAAAAGAAAAATTCAAAAATATGTTTGTCCATTATATTTTGCATGTTTTTTGAAATTTTTCAAAAATGAGTTTTTTTTTAAAAAAAAAAATCACTTTTTCAAAATTTTCAGAAAAACTTTTTGGGATCTTTACACAAATAGCTGGCGATATTCGTTGTTTACCTTTTCTAGCCATATACATAGATTATACATTGATTATACATAATTATACACATACAATACATAAAGTATGCATATATTATACCTCAACCGGCTTAGTTTAAATAGTTGGGTGAGCGGTTATTTGGGTTAATTCTTCAATTTTTTTCCCCACTCACAAGACTGCAACATATTTTCAAATGAAATGCATGTCTAAATATAATTTCAAATTTCAAATACAATTATTCAACTTCACTCCAAATATTACTTTTTTTTCAAAAATTATAATTTTTATGTCCAAACGCCTCCTAAGAGTGATCTGCTTTTTCCTTTTTCCTTTTCTCTTTTTTCTTTATCCTCCTTTTCTCACCTCTGAAAATTGCAGGTGAAAAGCTGGGGAAAATTTTAGCACTATTTCCAACCATGTACCTATCAGGTGGTACTTGCGTTACACTTATTATGATCGGAGGTGGCACTATAAAGATTTTCTTCCAAACTATCAGTGGATCTAACCATTGCCATTTAATCCCACCAAGTACAATAGAGTGGTACATTGTATTCACTGTTTCAGCCATAGTTCTTGCTCAGCTTCCAAATTTAAATTCCATTGCTGGAATTTCTCTCGTCGGTTCGATATCAGCTGTGACGTATTGTACCTTGACATGGGTAGTTTCTGTTGTCAAAGAAAAGCCAGAAGGGGTTTCTTTTGAACCTGTTGAAAATAAATCTGATTTGGGAAGAGTTTGTAGCATTTTGAATGCTATTGGAATGATAGCTTTTGCTTTCAGGGGACATAATCTTGTCCTTGAGATTCAGGTTGTTAACTAGGCAATATTACAAATTAAAGTTGTGAACTAAATATTTACTGTCAAAGTTCTTGTTTTCTTAACATGGATTGGTGTGTCACAGGGTACAATGCCTTCTAGCTTAAAGAACCCATCTCATGTGCCCATGTGGAAAGGAGTCAAGTTCTCATATTCTATTATTGCTTTGTGTTTGTTTCCACTGGCAATTGGAGGCTACTGGGCTTATGGAAACCTGGTGAAGTCTTTAAAAGTTTTTGTTATTGTTCAAATTTACCCCTCTATTATATAAAATATCTCAATTTTACTGTCACTATAGTCTAAGGTGTTAATACCCTTACCATTATAGCAATTTGTCTCGTATTTGCCCTTGATTTTAAGGGAGCTCCAACATGGATTAGGTGGATTTCACGTGCCAAAATACTTCATGAAAAGTCTAGATTTATGCCTCTACTTTTGACAACGGTTCAAAATTGGCTGCCACTGTAGTTTAGGGTGGGGCTCCGTCAAAGTAAAGGCCAAATACGAGACAATTTGCTAATACCAAGGGTATGAATAATCTCAAGTATAAAGAAAGATAAAATTAAGACAGTTCATGTAAGTAGATGAGTGTTTTCTTTTCCCTGTAGACACTAAGGAAAGGAGCATAAGTTGAACATTAACAATGTTTTTGTTTTGTCATGACAGATGCCAAATGGAGGGATATTGAGTGCATTGGACAAATACCATGGAAAAGACACATCAAAAGTAATTTTAGGAATAACAAGTTTACTGGTGGTAGTCCATAGTCTTACATCATTCCAAATCTATGCAATGCCAGTTTTTGATAATTTGGAGTTTAGGTACACCAGCAACAAGAAAAAACCCTGTCCATGGTGGCTTAGAACAGGGTTTAGAGTATTCTTTGGATGCCTAGCATTTTTCATATCAGTGGCACTTCCCTTTTTGCCTAGTTTGGCTGGTCTAATTGGGGGAATTGCTTTGCCAGTTACTTTGGCATATCCTTGTCTAATGTGGATAATGATCAAGAAACCTAAGACATATACTTCAAGTTGGTTTGTTAATTGGTCTCTTGGACTTTTAGGCTTGGTTCTAAGTGTTCTTTTGGTTTTTGGTGCTATACGGACAATAGCAACTCAAGGTATAGATGTTCACTTCTTCAAGCCACAATGATGACAAAAAATGGTTCAGGAAATAGATTAAAATCTAACCAGTACTGGAAAGGTACAACTTTATTGGTTAAGGAAAGGGGAAAGGGCAAAAAGAACCTAACAGCAGCCACCAAAAGGGAAAGTTACAACTTGTACACTGTAAATATAAAAGTATGCAAGCACTTATATCTTTTTTTTTGATTTGCACCGGGTGTCCGAGTCTCTTAGAGCCCCGACTAATCCCGGGGGTGCACAGGCCCTCGGCAAGGAGTTTCCCGCAAGTGCACCACGGTTAATTCAGGTTTTACCCAGTCCGATGGCCCTCAGAAATTGTTTGCACCCAGTGGGTTTCGAACTTGAGACCTTGAAAGGGAGCAAACCCCAAGGCTCAAGTCAATTGCCACCAGGCCAACCCCTAAGGGTTATGCAAGCACTTATATCTTGCTTGTCAATTTCATATGTAAAAATCCTATTAATAGGAAAAAGAAAAAAATGTTCAGATTTCAAAGATCAAGATCCTTCATGATTTAGGGACATTTGGTTCTTGTGGTTAACAGTATTCAATGCTGTCAGGACATATGCATTTCATGAGATAACTCGAGTCTTGACCAAAAAAGAGATATATAAGAATGATGTTACAGGAAAATTACATTGTAGGGCTGAGGCTAAACTTACATGAAGCTTTATCAACCAGCCCAAACACCTATAGTTATTTAAGATTTTTCATACTTTCATATCAAAAAACTGGTTGCGCGTACCAAGAAGTTGGTTGCGCGTAGCAAAAGGTTGTTCTCCATTCGCCACTTCTACATTGATAAGGGAAGAAGCATCCTTCGCTTCTTCTTCCTGGCTGCTGTAACTTGCTTTGCAATTGTCACACATAAAAGCAATAGCAAGCTAACACATACTAAGATAAATGCAAGCTTCAGATGCTTGAAATACAGTGAAACCGCAGAGAAAACCAGGAGTGCCAAAATAACCAGTTCAAATATTACAAAGATGACGACATCTGCCCTGTATCAAAGCAAAAAAAAAAAAAAAAAAAAAAGGGAAATAAGAAAAAGAAGGCTCAGAACAGAACAAATAGTCAGAAGTAAATACAGATAATAGAAATCACTGACAAAATATTTGAGTTGCTATGAATTTAAGCAATAAACTATTGAGAAAAGGGCAAAATCAAGTACCATGCTACCAGTTATTTCACAAAAGTAAGTTGCAAAAGAAATTGCCCAAAAAAATTTAAACAGCTCTCAAGCCCAAAGATGCAATCCATTCATTCTTCATCAATGTCCACTTTCAATGAGGTTTAGGATGATCATTTCTCCATTCTACCATTTGCAACCTCCCCATGGGTTAATGGTTCTGATTCTTTCAAAAAAAATCTCACACTAATCCTAATATTACGTTTTTAGTATTCTCTAGAAGTTTCAAGTTGCAGCTTTGGAGCACGCTCAAGTCCAACAATGTTAGATGCTTTTGATTTCTCTTTCCACTCAACATCAAATTACAACTGAATTCTGCATGACTTATTAGTCAACGATGACATCTCAATGTGTTCTAAAAGCCAGATTTCACTCAATATGTTTAAAGAAAAGTTGGGACTCATCTTGGAATACTCTCCGGATGAGCAGCCTCTAAACACATAATGGAGTTTTGTTTCTGGAATTTTGGATTCAGGAAACATCTAAAGCATTGAGCATGTTAGTGCGAAGGAGCTCATGAGACATAATGATGGAATAACAAATAGGATGATTTAGGTTACTAGAGGTATAGAATCAAGCAAATGATAGATTTGGTTTTCAAATCCCCCTATTATTTAAAATGCAAGAACAAGAGCTGTTGCAGATAAGACTATCAGCTTCTAGAGCCCCAAGAAAGCGCACGGAATTGCATTCTTACAACTGACAGTATTAAACAATGACAAAAATTCATCAAGCAAGTGCACCATGAGTAAGGATTAGGGAAAACATCAATTATGGCTGCATAATAAGGAGCTCAATTAGCTTTATGAACTTCTCATTAGCCTTCTTAATCTGGTTACTTCATGTGCCTTGGTTTCAATTATTTAGCTTGCTTGCATACAACAAGTTCGAACTTGCAAGATTCAACACTGGAACTGTATGGGTCCCATTGTAGCTGCCGCGGAGGGAACATAACAAAAGCTTTGAATAAAATGGATAGTGAAGAAGGAAAGACACATCGGACATACTTATATTCTTTATATTCTTGAAGCAAAAATATCACACCTGGTACCTACTTGCAAAGATGAAAGGACAACTTTTTCCTGGAGTGATTTAAAGATTCAGCTGTAAGTGTCTTGCAGTTGGGGATTTCACCTTCCTCGTTTTACTGGTCATGCAATAATTAACCCGGTCTAAACCACTACTAGGTTCAGAGAAGTGAGGGAAAAAGGCAGAGTAAGAATTAATGATTCCAACGTCCCATTTCGAGCTTACATATAAAGTCCATATGTAATGTTCGATCAATTCATCTGTTAGCAAGAATAACTAATTCCTGTGTTTCATTTCAAGCTAACCTATAAAGTCTACATTAAAAATTAAATCACATAATCTATTCACAGCAAATTTTGAAACTAAATGACAAGTTTTGCTGAAACTTGTCAACATAAGCATTTCTACATCAATATATAGCCAGATGAAACTTTCCCACAAATAAGTTCTTCCATTATATTTAAAAAAAAAAAATCACATTACCCCTCTCATCCAAAGTTTTCAACTTTAATCATACACCCATGCAAAATACTTCAAAAAATTAACCAAAGCTTTGAGAAACACTTTATACCAAAAACTCAAACTTTTGGGAACTCCGGCTGGTCTAATAACAAGAACAACCCCAAAATCCATAAATTTTCCTAAATCAAATCCAAATTAAGCAAAATGTGCATACACATACACGTAAATTAGAAAAGCGGGAAATGGAGTGGAAAAAAAGAAGCTGTAATAGGAAATGAAGAGAACAAAAAAATTACTAATAGAATACCTTGTAGATGTGATATTAGAGGTGGAGGAGAAGAAAGAGACAGAGGCCCAATCGTGCTTCGATCGAATCTGATATTCTCTCAGCTGCTCCGCCAAATTCGATCGCGTTATCATGATTCCGCCTCCCTTCCTCCTTTCTCTCCTCCCCCTTTCTAGCTTCTCCTTCTCAGTCTATCAAATGCAAGTGTGTAATTCTCTATTTTGTGGCGGAGATTTCGAATCGCCGTTCCTTTCCGGCGACGGGATTACGGCCGCCGGCGGAAGGAATTTTGAATTACTAGAAGATAGAACCCGACACCAGTATCTCACCTTCCTTGGGTTATTGACTTATTGTTAATTCCCTATTTTCACTTTTATCCCTAAAACTGTTTTGGAGATATTACTAATCTTTGCAAATATGTGTATGATTTATATATTTTTCGAAATGAAAGAAAATACATCTAGAAAAATATATAAATATCAAAGGATATATACGAACGAGTCGTCACTATTGTGAGAGTATCTATATCTATCTATCTATATTAATATTAATATTTATTATTATTTATTATAAGAGCACGGATAATTTATACTAAATGTTGAACGACTAAAATATCCTTAAAATATTGATCGGCTTTTATGTCCTGAAATATTTGTATAATTTAAGGATCTAATGGTAAATTATCTAATCATAGAATTCTTTTTCGATTTAAACCGTACATATGCCTGACCCTACGACGATGATCCTATTTGAATTAGAAAAGCACGTCCATAATTTTCTTTCAAAGAATTATTGTTCCTAATTACAATTCTTTTATAACAGGGAACTACTAGAAGAAAAGGCACGTACTAAAATAAGATTTAGTACTACGTTCTAGACACATCAATAACATTTTAAACAAAGTTGAAACTCCTTACTATCCTTTAAAGTCTTAATTTGTATTTAGCTCATATAAAGCTAAAACTAAGTTGAGTTAGTATCTTTTACCTAAATATTAGGAGTTACTACATATTTCAAATAAATTGAGTTCATTTTTAAAATATTAAATAACAAGACAATAATTAAATGATAATTTTTTAAAATATAAAATCTAATTTTAAAGGATTAAAAAAATAGGTGCAAGTTTATATGAATATTTTTCTTTCACATGATAATAAAGTGGTTCTAATAATACAGATGAGATTGTGCTCTTTAATTTATTTATTTTTACTTCAGTATGAGTAATTGATTCCTTTACAAATTTCTCAAAGAAAATCGATTGATGTAAGATTAGGTTTCCTAGAACAAATTCGTCAAAGTCTCCTATATATTGAAGTTTAACAAAAAATTTCTTTTGATTGATTTATTTTCATTAGATGCTCATGTGTCATGAATTGTCTCCAATTCAAGATTTACATCAATTTATATTCAAATAAAAAATAAAATACTTTAGAATAATGTTATTAGTGTATTATGTGTGATATTGGTTAAAAATAATCTAAAATAAGTGGAACACAATGATTGGACCGGCTCCGTAACAAAGCAAAAATACATTACGATGTTCATATAGAATGTGAAAATCAACTTGAACTTTCCAAACAAATAGGATATTTGCATTGTGATCACGCCCAACTCTAGTCCTAAATAGGATAAGCGGTCGCTGCAAATATAATCCGGTCTAAACGTCCGGAGTCGAATCCCACAGGGAACTAACGCTTAGCTATAGCTGTTTAATATCACTAAGAAGACAAGTTTGAACAATTTTCTAAATTATAAAGATTGAGATTTATATTTTTAACTAATTAACAAGCAAATACTAGAAAGCGGTAAAATTATCAACTAACGAGATAAATGTTTGGAGACTAAATTAAGGAGGTCTAGAGTTATGATTTTCTCAATTATCGGAGTCCTTCCTGCTATGTCTTCTATAATTTCACCTAATTATTCCCTACTAATCATGAGCACTCGACTTATCGTAATTTTCTCTCGAGCAACTACAATAACGTACTAGTCATATTCTCTCGAATTACGCTAGCTCGCACTTTTTCACCGCTCACGTCAAAGCTTCGTTATCTCTAATCCCGCTTTTGAACTTGCCGTATTGATCTCTCATATACCTTAGGAGGTGAACAACCTAAATATATATCCTTTCTCAAGCAACACATACTAAATAGGCACAGTCAATCGATGGCCATTCAACCAACTGAAATAAGCACATAGTTGAACAGTAGATAAATCCAAAGGTTAAATTATATTAAAACATAACAAGAATTCATCCTCCAAGAGGTTCCATCAAAATTCTAGATAATAAATTAGCTATTCATAAAAGTATGTGAAAATACAATACTAAAATTCATAACCAACAATAGGAAACAAGAAGAAGAAAGGAAAAACTCGTGGTTGAATCTTCCTCCTTGTTCCTCGTGTATTCTTGCCTCCAAAGGTGTTGTGTAACCCTAAAGTAGTGTCTCCTTAGCCTCCTCAGGTCTAAATTATGTCAAAAGTCCCAAAAATAACGTTTTTCTATATATATATATATACCAAGTAGGGTCGGGCTCAAACAATTTTACCTTCTCCTATGCGAAAAAGGATAGTTTTCCCGGACAGAACATCCGCGGCCGCGGATTCAATCACGGACTTGGCCGCGGATTTTACCCAATTTCTGCCTCATATCCGCGGCCAGTGCGCGGACGTGCACTTGCCGCGCATTTTTCACCATGTTCTGTTTGAAATTTGGAAAAACGTAAAACATGAAAGTTGTAGCACTTTGAATTAGCTTTCAAATCATATATTGCGAGCTTAAATGGAGTTCTGAACGAAAAGTTATGTCCATTTTACTAGACAGTGCGCAATATGCCTACTCGATTCTTCGTTCGTTCTTAACTATCACCCGTTGATCCCCGAACACAATCCCGGCTTAATTCCTTGGGATATTACTCAGACTTCAAAGCCCAAAATCACTTGAATTCATTCCATAACATCTACATGGCTCGGAATCACTCTTACAAGGCATAAAACACACAATTAGTGCAAAACACTAGCGATTAAAGCGCAAACTCAACTGAAGTGCAGTGAATTGGAATGTAATATTCGACTAAAATACGTAATTATAGACTATCATCACATTGTAATGACTCGACTGGTCTTTTTGAGCTCTATCACGTCGTTCAGCGGGTTAGGGCCATGAGCAGCTTCACTTCAGGTTACGCGCGGTCGGAATTGGAATTTCGGAAGTTCAATGTTGATTTGGAAAAAAAATTCTCATTTCGGAAGCTTTAAGTTGGAAGGATTGACTAAGGTTGGATTTTTGAGTAAACGACCTCGGAATTGGGATTTGAAGGTTCCAACTGGTTCGTATGATGATTTTGGACTTGGGCGTATGTCCGAATCGGGTTTTGGATGACCCTGGGAGCGTTTCGGCGCCTATTGTGGAAGTTGGCATTTTGGAAGAAATTCATAAATTTGGGTTGAAGTGCATTTCAATATTATCGATGTCCGTTTGAGATTCCGAGTCTGGGAATAGATCCATATGGTGATTCTGGTAATTAGAGCGCGTCTGGATGTGGATTCGGAGGTCCGTAGGTCATTTCGGGATCATTTGGCGAAAGTTAAAAAATTTGAAGGTTTTTGAGAAGTTTGACCGGGAGTGGACTTTTGATATCGGGGTCGGATTTTGATTTCGGAAGTTGGAGTAGGTCCTAATATCGAACGTGACTTGTGTGCAAAATTTGAGGTCAATCGGACTGATTTGATAGGTTCCGACATCGAATGTTGAAGTTTGAAGTAAAGTTCATTAAGCTTGAATTAGGGTGCGGTTCGTGATTTCGACGTTGTTTGATGTGATTTGAAACCTCGAGCAGGTCCGCGTCATGCTTTGAAACTGGTTGGTATGATTGGACAGGGTCCCGGGGGCCTCAGGTGGATTCCGGGTGGTTAAAGGATCAAATTTGGATTTGGAGGAAGAGGTGAAGCAGCTGGGCATCTGGTGCAATCGCACCTGCGTGAAGAGGGCCGCAGGTGCGGGAAATAGCTCGCAGAAGCGGAAGGGGCCAAGGCTGCTGAGAACCTCAGGAGCAGAAAAGTTTGCGCACATGTGGTGGCGCAGGTGCGAGGTCAGTAGCCGCAGAAGTGGCAAGGGCCGCAGGTGCGAAAATGTCGCTGGGCAAACTGGTTTTAAGAGCGAGATTTGGCTCTTCTTCTCTCATCTCTCACTTGGTTGGGGAGATTTTGGAGAGTTTCAAAGGGAGATTTTCATCAAGCAACACAAGGTAAGTGATTCCCACTCACTATAAGTTAAATACATGGTTTGTATAAGGATTTAAACATGGAAATTTGTAGAAATTGTGGGGTTTTGGTAGAAAACCTAGAAATTCATATTTTTGGATTTTGACCACGAATTTGGGCATAGAATTGGAAATAAATTTTATATTTAAGTTCGTGGGGTTATGGGTAAAGTTTATCTTCGAAAATTTTCGGAATCCAGGTACGTCGACCCGAGGGTGATTTTTATCGACTTTTCGAACGGAGTTGGAAATTATAGTAAATATGGTTATAAGGAGTATTAGAGTATATATTTATGGAATTGCTCATTTATTGACTAGTTTCGGAGCGTTGGGCATCGATTTGAGTTATTTGAAAGGCTTGGGAGCCGGCTAAGGAACTTCGGAGCGAGGTAAGTCTCCTTTCTAACCTTGTAAGAGGGAACTAACCCCATAGGTAAATTGAATTAATATGTGCTTCTAATAGTGGGGGCTACGTGCGCACGAGGTGATGAGAGTGCGTGCTAGCTACTATTATGCTCATGTCCGGATAGTCTAGGACCCAAATCATGTTATATTTGCGATATTTGCATCCTACTTGTTAATTTAATTGTTAAAAACACATTCGAACTTTATAAGGAAATGGTAAGTGTCAGAGTCGACCCCTCATCACTACTTCTTCGAGGTTAGATTGGATACTTACTGGGTACGCGTTGTTTGCGTACTCATACTACACTTGATGCATATTTTTCTGTGTTGGCACATATGTATTTAGTGGCCTTGTGGGCGCAGCGGCATGGTTAATGCGGGAACTTAGGTGAGCTGCATTCCATATTACGACTCGCAGCCAGTAGAGTCTCCTTCAGAGTATTTATATTTTTTTTCGTGTCCAAATTTGCATTCCGGACAGATGCTGTATTTTATTTTAGTTCCTAGTTGATGCTCATGCACTTGTGACACCGGGTTCTAGGGTAATTATGGGTTATTCAATATTGAGATTGTTAAAAATATTACTATTTACTCTGTAATTTTTATCTTCTACTATGATTTCAGAATTATTAAAATGAGACCAGGTATTTAGTGTTTGCTTGCCTGACAGCGGTGTCCGGTGCCATCACGACCTTTATTAGATTTTGGATCGTGACAACATGATAT